TCTCAAAGCAAGAGGGGAAGAGAGAGAGACAGAGACAGAGACAGAGACACAGAGAAAGAAACAGAGATGCAGAGAAAGAGACAGAGACAGAGAGAATTTTCCTCTGTCACAGTTTCAGCTGAGTTCCACCAGCAATCACATAAACTCCAAAAAGTTCTCTGAGCCTCAGATGAAATTATAATCCCAGCTAGATGTGACACTTGCCTGGATGCCATCACCCAGCACTTAGGAGGCAGAGGCTGGAAGATGAGATGTTCAACAACACCTTCGGCTACAGAGTAAGTCTGAAGCCAATCTGGGCTACCTGTGACACTGTAGAACTCACAGCACTCTTGGCTGTCCATTGTTCCAAGCCACTGACCAGCCTGCACGCTAGATTAGAAATGGATGAACCCCGTTTCTCCTTCTCTCTTCATTCCTTCCAACATTCCAAGCACTCTGGCCTTTTCCCTTTTCTCGGTTTCCTAGTTTAAACGTTCAGTGACGTGGATCTTCGAGGACTAGTCACTTCTCCTGGAACCACTTATCGTTGATGTTCATGGAATACTATTGCTGCTTCCAGACCAGCTTAGCCTTCCCTAATTAACAGTGGAGCCCATCCCTCCCTGCTCAGTACTCCCTCTTCTCTGTCCTCTCCCCATCTACCTCCCCTTGAGTTGACAAGAACTTACAGTCATCACATTCATAACACCTAAACTAGCCCAATGCTCTGCCCCTAGTAGCCTCACAGCCACTCCATAAATAGTTAATAGGCTCATAAACATATTGTTTCTCACTAAAATGCTCCGGGAATTTATTCAGTATTTATCCTCAGAGCCTCATACAGCTGCTGTACCATGAATAAGGCATGTCTCCTGTCTGTTCTCAGAAGAGTAAGATTCACATGCCACCAAAACTTACAAGAACACGACCTCTGTCTCATATGCTCTGTGGGGTAGGTCAAAGGGTTCAGACTCAGGGAGGCTCAGAAATGTGCCATCTCTCTCTCTTCCAGCCTCACTGTATACTTGAAGGAGCAACATCTTTCCATCATTATCAAGAAGGTAGGGATAAGAAAGGATTGTTTGTGAGCCAATTATCACGTGAAATATGTGAAAATGATTACAGGAAAAGGTGGGTCCCGGATGGGGAGAGGGTGTTGACAATGTCAGCTTTGTTCTGAGGCTCTGGATGGTAGGGTCGAGGGAGACATGGCACATTTTTGCTTGATGGGGGTGTGTGGTGCAGCTCGCAGGAGTCAGCTCAGCCGTTAGTGTGAAACCCAAGGAAACTGCCCTGCCACAGCTGATGTGAGCACTCCCAGCTGCCCTGAGTTGTGAATCAGACACCCACATCCTGTGGTCTCAGGCTCACTCTTGTCCTCCTTTTACAAGCTATATCAAAGAGTCGATGCCTGATGTCTCCAGAAGATGTCTGTTGCTTTTTAGCAGAAAGAAAATGTATGTGCGCGTTCTGCAGAAGTCCACCAAATGTGGCCCAGCCTCATTTCCCCCCAGTGCTTGGAAGCCTGAGCCAGAGAACAAACAGTAACTCCACACACTACATCATTTGGTATCAATTAAGCACTGTTCTCTTTGAAGACATGGCATCTATTTAGTTTGAGCCAATATCATTCAAGTAAACTTACAAAGAATTATAAAGTGTTTATTAATATTAAACTTGACTTCAACACTAAACCAATTAGACATTTTGTTCTGGCTGATTCTCTGAGCTTACAAAAGCTTATATTGTGGATATAAAGTTCTGATTATGCTTGACATGGTTCCATGTTTTTGAACTTTATCCATTTGCTTTCTCAGGCTAAAATAATAATCAGACCACTGGATCAATGTAGTTCTTCATATTTACTCTTTTTTTTTTTCAATTGAAGATTTTTGGCTCTGGTGGGGAGGAGAGAAAAGAAAAGACAGTAGAAAATGAATTGAAATTAAATCAAGGCTCAGGAGAAATTTATTGTGTCTCTCTAGTTTGAAATATCCGTTCTGTTCATGTGGCTTTCAATCACTTATGGACAGATCCCTGGTGATCTTCGGCAGAGTCACAGACAAATACCTCACTTGGTAGTCATCTCAATGAGGTGTTAAGGGCGTCCTTCTTGGGTGCTCTTGAGTTTGTTGAAGCTGGCGCGTGGCTTGGCAAAAAGGTCTCTGTTGAGATGGAGAAAGGCTGTGATGTTTCCCGTCCACTGCAAACTTCAGCTAATGTTTGTTCCTCACCTAGTCTGACTTCCTTAAGCCTGGCCTAATTTTGTTTCAGACCTCACATTGCCCTTTCATATTAACTTCCTAGAATAAAGATATTGCAGAGTTGGATGAGGTGTCAGAGGTAAGGTTATATCACATCACCAGTTTCTCAACATGTACTCTGGATTTCAGCTGGTGGATGCTTATGAAGCTGCTATTGACGTTCCTCATTAAATACAACAGAGATAGTTTGTAAAACTATGCTCAAGAATGTCATGTGGAACATTCTGTATTTCATTTCTGTTCACATGATATGAACTTTATTAGCGTGATTTTATACTAAATTATAAACTGGTTAAAGCATGTGATAGCAAAGAGTGTAAACAGGGGCAAAAAGGAAGCAGGCAACCCCTAATTTCTGGCAGTTCATTTCTAAAACCAACTGGCTAATCAATAAATACCATGACATCTTCATTCATTCAGTATTAATGCCCCTTTGAGAAACATGGATACCAACAAGACATTTTAAGTCCCCCTAAGGTGATATTTGTGATAGTACAGATTTAGAAACAGTCTTATTTTTGTTTCTGAAACTTTTGTTTTATTAAGTTCTGTCTCCGCTGTTGTGTTGAATGATTCAAACTGAATAAATGAAGTACTGTATGATTATGAATTGAAAATTTTTCAAACTGAATAGGATAGGAAGAAAGATAGAAAACAGTATGATAATATGGCTTTGAATCATTCATATACTAGGTTCAACTACATATTCAACTCTTAAGGAAAAGAACTGAATTATAGACTACCACATAAGAATCCAAGGAGGTGCCAAAGACCATTTAAGAAAAGATATTTGATTAAACACTCCATAACTACTCTTTAAACCTCTAAAATTGGATGGCTCTCCATTTTGTTTTTATGTTCATACTTTATGGAGTCTTGTGCTTATTTTCGGGATCACCAATATATAAAAGAAGACATTAACACCCAATCTTTGGAGGAGCAACTTTGAGATTAGATGGCTCTTGGTTGATTCCAGGTCTTTCCTCTACTCAACTCAGATGACCAGCTATTTGTGAGCATGTTTTCTCTTCTAGAAAATAAAGATCATCAAATGTGTTTTCTTAAGCGTTGTTTGTGAGGAGGGAAAGATGTCACATTTTTTGGATGTGAAAAGACCTTGTCATGGTAACTGGCCTGTTTGTGACTACCCTTTTGTGACTGGGCTTCTGAATATAGTCCCTAAATTAGAGTATAGCCACTGAATGCAAGTAATATACTCATGTTAAGCTGGTAAGCCAGGGAACAGGGAGATTGGTCTGAATTTAAAGAGAGAAGATTCACTCTCTTAGCCACATGCCATTGTGGCTTGAATATGAAGTTACCCCCACAGGCTCATGTGGTTGAATACCTAGGACATGGTTCAATGTCTGGAGATAGTACAGCCTTTGAGAGTGTAGCCTGGCCAATGACCACAGGTCATTGCTGGTGGGTCCTGAATGTCATATCCATCTTGGATAACCCAAACTATCTCTGCGCTGCCTGATCTGCCAAGATATGTCCAAGCCATGCTACACATTTCCTGCATCACAGACCAAGCTACCCCAGATGCCATTCCCTTCTCAGCAGAATGGACTGACACCACCAGAACTACAAGTCCAAAGATATCTTCCACCCTCAGGTTATCCCTGTTCAGTAGTTTGTCCAGAGACAAGAAAGGTAGCTAATCTATATGTGACCCAGATCCCATGACCTACAGACCCACATCCAACAAGCCCTCTGGCTCACCCAAGTGAAGAGTAAGTATAGAGGTAGTCTATAATAGTCAGGATTCTCTAGAGAAACTGAATCAATTGGATATGTACACATAGACAGAGATTTAGTTCCAGGAATCTGTTCATGTAACTACAAGGTCAGGCAAGGCCAAATTCTACACTGTAGGCCAGTAGGACAGAAATGCAGGGAGGCGCTAATGCTGTTTAGGTCAGAATGTTGCCTGCTAGAGAATCCCATTAGTTTTTTTTTTCTAATAAAGCCTTCATCTGATTGGATGAGACCTGCCTTCACCTGATTGGATGAGACCCAGCCACATTACAAGGGGGTGGGGTAGGGGTGGATCTGCCTTACTCAATATGAACTTACTCAAATGTCAATCTCCTCTAGACATACTCTTAGAGAACCAGCTAAAATAATGGCTGACCAAATGCCTGGGCACAATGGCTTAGCCCCACTGAGATACAAGATTAATAGCCACACATTTCATCACATCCTCAACAGATCACAAAGAATAAAATGGTCAGGATTTCCAGTTTCAGAATGAGGCAGAAATGTATTCAAACCCTGAAAAAACTGTATAAACTTTCGGACATTTTCAATGGAACTGAGAGATCTCAGTATAAGGTTGTGAGTATTGCTAAAAGAAGAATTAGTGATACAGATGAGATTCCAGCCCTGATTTATACCTGGCATGTAGTGTGTATGCAGTAGCTGAAGTATCCTTTCTTCATGAAAACAAAATAAGAAGCTCAGTTGAAAGAAGATGAGGGTGGAAGCCTTGCTAGTTGGCACACGGTTTGTCTCAAATTGGATTTCCTTTAAGAAATGGCTTTAAAAAAAAAAAAACTTGTTAAGATGTAATAAATAAAATACTCCATTTTCAGACTTTTAAAACGTGCTTCCCAACCAGTTCCACTTCCTGGGCTTTTTCCCTCTTCTCAGTCACATACTGCTGTTTTCTTTTGCACATTTTTTTTTTGTCTCATTGAATTGCCAGGTGTAGGTCAGTAGATGTCACAGGCATAACAAAGAAAAGGAAAAGCTTTTTCTGCTTCTATTCCTGTAAGCAGAGAAATTACTCACTGTTTTTCTCAGAAAAGTGGCCAAGTAAGTGAGCTGTGCCAATGAACTTCTCCCCAAGTAGAATTCAGATGGGGATGCTGTTAAAGTGTTTGAACAGAGATGTGTTAGTTCGTCTTTCAAATGAGCTGTGACTGTGCTCTCCACATGCTGGTCATTGGACCCTTAGATGCGTAACATGTACAGTTCATTCCACTGCTCTGGAATATCCTAGGTTTTGACCTGTTTGTACACAAATAAGTCAGCAGCTCTCACTGACATGCACAAGGAACAATACATCCCAATCAACACCCTTAGAAAATCAGCCACATGTGAAGGACAGCCGTGCATAAGACACGTTAAGTTTAACCTTAGCTCAAGTTTGCTATAATTCCAAAAGACATCACTCATAGATGAAAAGTTCAATCAACAAATCATGATAATTCTCAGGAACTGTGAAGCACAAAATAGTCACACCTATGACATGGACAACAAAGACTACTAGAAAAAAATCTCAAAATCAGAACCATGGGGTCAGAGCCATATCCAACACTATTTGTATTTTTGTGCTGTCCAGTTGAAAAGTCTTTGGGTGAGACAGGAGTCTCCATGCTCAATACTCCAGTTGATGTTAATTGTAAGGAAGTCAGTTCACCTTTCTGGGGTTCATTATTCACCCTAGTGTCAGGATCCTTGTCACCATCATCTGAAAGTACTTTGCACAACTAATGTAGGCTGGCAGATCTGACAAATAGTAGCTAGTGTTTGTTATGACCTAAGTGTGTGTCAGGCGCTATTATGAGTGTGTCTTCACTGTGTTTCTCACTTAGTTTTCACAATGTCATGGTGAAGGTGGAATTATTATGTTCTTATGACACGACAAAATTGAGATGAACTAGCTGAACGGGGTCAAAGCCCGTAAGAGGCACTAAATTCAGACTTCAGACCCAGGCAGGCCAGCTCCAGGAGTCTTCACTAATCTCTACCACCTCCAGGTTAAAGGCTTAAGGGACTGCTAAATTTGGAAAACTTACCCTGGTTCATTTTGCCAAAGAAGAGACTGAAATCCAGGGTGCAAGGTTGTCATCCAAACTGTAGGCACAAGATGTTTTGTTTTGAACATCCATGTCAACTATTTCTTCTCTCTGGGGAAACAATGACATGAAAATAACTTTTCGTGACTTGGAAACAAGAGTGGACCGTGAGATTAAGGCAGGAACAGTAAATGTGACTGATCACAGGGCTGATAGAGACAGAACAGGGAAGTCAAGAATGGAATAAACAGCCTTGCGGAGATGAAGATTTCATTTCTTAGTTTGCATTTTTCTCCATTTTATTCTAGAAGTTTCTGGGGCTCTGAGCTAGCACTAGAACTCAGTCCATTGAAAATGCCACTGTCTGCTTTTGACTTGAGCTGAAGTCCAAATCCCTGGCTGATAGAAATTATCAGGCAGGACACGGTAAGCTATGTCATGATTAGTTTAAGAAATGGGCCTTTATTTTTCTTCCTGCTATACTTTATTTTCTTCCTGTTCTGAGTCCTCTTTTTTTTTTTTTTTTTTTTTTTTTTTTTACTTGCTACCATAGATGCAATGAGAAATACTGAACACTAATGAGGCACACTTAAAAAAAAAAAAAAACCTCCAGTGACAGAAGCTTGCATGGGGTGAATTATTAGACCATAGAAAGTATGAACTGGTTGAGACAGTTTTCATTCCCTTTTCTGTTTGCTCTGTGGAGTGCTGGCGACGGAACCCTCCTGGATGTTAGGTAGGTGCTCTGTGGCTCAACCCTGAAGGCTGATCCTTTTGTATTGTGAACGAGACCAACAATAGTCAACTGTCTCTGAGTGTTAGCCAAGCTAGCCCAGTTGGTGGTTGGATCAAGTCACTTTGGAAATTTCTATATTCCATATTCTAAATTTAAAAAAAAACACTCAAAAAAGAGAAATAAATACCTGGTTCATTTTTACAACCCAGGACATAGGTGATCTGACTAATATATTGCCTTACATGGAGAAGAAGAAAAAAAATTAAATCACTTACAATATGAAAACACACTTTTAAAATTTTCCCTTCAAACTAAAATCCTGAGAAAAATAAAGGCTTGTGCTGGAATAATTGATTAATTCAGTTTTTTAAAATTATGTCTTTTGGGTTCTACTGGAATCCTGAGGAAGATGGAAGACTTGTGTTAGAATCATTTGATCGATTCAGTGTCTTAAATACGTCTATTCAGTACTATCCCCCAAAAACAGGAGACGGAAATCCATAATACCCATCATGCCACCATTTCACAACTTGACACGGAAATACTGATATACTCAAAGTTTCCTTCTGTTGCAGACTTCTTTTTTTTTTTTTTAAACTATATTTATCATTGGGCCATGATGACCAGAAACTGAGTTTAAGTCAGACTGACCCGTCTGTAATCGTACATCTTCTGAGAGGGAAGTGAGAGTGTGGTAATCGTTAGGACCATTTTACCATGAATAGCCAAGCTGTGTTTATCACCAGCCTAATAGGGAGTCGTTCAGTGAGCCGTATTCTTGATTTCATCACTCCCTAGGGAAAGATTTCCACTTGGTCACATCTGCAGCTCTGTCAAAGTGACGGACGGGCCTTGTGCCATCAAAATGCTCAGTATAAATGAGAATAGCTACTTTATTAAATTCCTAGTATGGGTAGGCAATTACATAGATCTTCCCATGTAATCTTCACAGGACTTTAGGAAGAAATCACACACTCATCATTGTGCTGATGGGGAAACTGAGGTCTTGTGAATTTGAATAGCTTGCTTAATGGTGGTGTTTGTTTCACGATGGTTACAACCACCATTTCTGTATCCCAGGGTTTTTTGGCTTGAACCTGCAAGCATGTCATAGCATAGTTAGAAGCTGACTGTGTCTCACAGTGAGCCACCTTTAATTCACTGACATGTTAATACCCACTTGTGGTTTCTGAGAAGGTAAAAAATAGCTCTGATACACCAGACATGACATTGAGCCTTTCAAATAATATACTTTGATATGTTGCCTGGGAATGTTGAGACGGTAGAAATATGCTTTAAAGAAAACTTTCCACATGCGATGTAAATAAAGAATGGACCTGAGATTTGAACCTCTGCATTCATTAAATGATCAGTACTCAGTGGATGTAAAAAGAGAGGCATCAAGAAGCTCCTTCCTTAGTCAGAATTAAATGACTAAGCAAGTCTCACAATGGTAGGGATTTGCTAGTCACAGAAAGCCAGACAGACAGGTTACCACTGCATAATGGAATGTGTGCCCAAGATGTAATTCGGCTGCTTAAGAGTCCTCATGTGGCAAACCTCTTGCTTTTCCCAGGAGTCCTGTAACAAGATGGGCTATCCCTGCTCTTTAGAAAACCAAGAGAATATAAGCATGGAAATGCACTGATTTCCAATGAACCGTATGTTGTTTTAAAGCAACATTCTCAGCCAGTTTGACATGAAATATGACATCTCATGTGTGCCCTTCCTAATGAACTGCACACCACCATCTATCCATCACCTGCTTGGGTCCATTCATTTCTTCCTTTTTCTCCACAGTCTTTGTGTTAAACCTTGAGCTGTGTCAAACTGGTCTCAGAAGAGTCATCAGGTGCTGGGTATATATAAATATATATATTTTTAAATAAAGCATTCAAAAGGGAAAACACGCTTTCAAGATCCTAAACCATTAATATTCACATACACATACAGATGCAAAAAAAGCAAATGGAAAAGACTTTAATCAGAGCCGTGCTGAGACGGGTACGAAGTATTAGGCTGACAAGAGACTATTTTTCTAAATTTTATCTAATGCTTTTTATGAAAAGCTTTTGAAAAATCCATTCTGTATAAATCCAAAGAATGAGTAATTATCTTATTTTTGAAAGCATGTGACTTAAACACACAAATCTGTTCAAAGACTTTAAAACAATAGAAACATTCTTGTGTTGCCTCTAGAATATATTCAAAGCCTACTTTTAGAAAATTCTGTTTAGCCTCTTATACTTGAAGGCTTGATTTAATATCTCGACTTCTGAAAATGAAGCATAACATTTAAATCTTAGCCCACAATTGAGAGTAAGCTCATTCCCATGCTACAGTTTCTCAGTTAGGGAAGTAGTTTTAAATGTCCCATAGGCCTGCCTTCAATTCTGAGATTCCTTTATTATTTTCATTTTAATCGAAACAAATGTACCCTGGTGTACCACAGACCTCAGACACCACACCACTATTTCATGGGATAGATGTTATGAAACTCGTATAATGTCTGGCGGGTTTCCATTATGAAAGGCTTCTAGAAAGAGGGCTTGGCTCAAAGCAGCCACATCTGTATTGAAGCCTCTCAATTGTGGGGAGAATAATTTGCATTGTTGCATTTATCCAACCATCTTATCAATTTTTAAAAAGCCATTTTAAAAATTTTATTGAATTTTTTTCTCATACAATATATTTTGATCATTCTTTCCTCCCCCCAGCTCTTCTCTGATCCTCCTCCCCAACTCGCTACCCACCCAAGTTCATATTTCTTTCTCTAAAAAGGATAAAAGGAAAACATGGGTTCTGCTTTGTGTTGTCCAACTACTCATGAGCATGGGGCCTGTGCTGTACTGTGGTTGAGAGACACACAGATACTTCTTCAGAGAAAACTGATTTTTCCCTTTCCCAGCAGATGTTAATTGCAAATAGCATCTTAGTTAGGGGTGGGATTTTGTGTCTCCTTCCCTTTATCAGTACTGGGGTTTTGTCCTGTTTGGCCCTGTGTGGGTCATGTGTATGCTGTCAGGGTCTCTGTGAGTTCATATGTGTTATTTGTCTTGTTGTGTCTGGAAGATGTGGTTTTCTTGGAGTCATCCACCACCTCAGGATCCTACAGTCTTCCTGCCTTCTCCTCTGCATAGACCCCTGAGCCTTGAGGGAAGGGATTTGATAAAGACATCCTATTTAAGGCTGAGTTAAAAGCTAAATTTTAAAACTAAATTGAGTATTCCATATTTTTCAAACCACGTTTACACCATTGGGAACTTGGAATCATCAAGATTTTTGAGCTCCATTTAACTCCAAATGACTCGCTGCCCAGATTCTGAGCGAGCAATGGTACAAACGGGTGGCTTCTTCTAGGCTAAGCCCCAAGTGGATCCATTCCATAAAAAGGACCACATGGCTTCGGTGTGTCCTAAGAAGGTAAAACGGGTCATTCTCCTAATGTCCGGGACTACTGCCCACTAGATGCCTCCCAGACCATAAATGCAAGTGAGCAATCACGCCAGATTTCCTGAGCTGGAATGCTGATGAGATTGCTGAACGATTGGATATTGTTTCATAGTCATCTGGCATTGATAATGTTTACTTAGCCTGACCCATCTAATCCCTGAGTGCAAGGTATTTTTAGAGACACAGTGACTCATTCAAGCAAGAAAGTACTGTACCAGCACTGGTCTACTGGATGCCATCTGGGTTTGGGCTTCATGGAGTAAACAGCCCTAGTTCCTACCCTTGATCTCTGTGAACAGAGAGAGGAAAGGACAACACATAGCCTTGACATTCAAAAGGTTTCAACTCAGTCTTGTGTCAGCAAAAATCAGAATTTTCCAAAATACCAGCTACTTAGCTTTAAATTCTTATACTCTGGTGAACTCAATAAAATATTCTGTAATGTCACATATTTCCATGAAGCCAATAGAATTCTGGATCTAGAATATGTGTAAAAAAGCTAGAATTTGCCAAAGAATATGTGCTGCTTTCAACTCTGCTCTGGTCATTAACTGTCCAATCTTTGAAGACTACTGTTTTAAATATCTTGACATGTTCCAGTTGGGAAAATGTACTATAGATAGTAATTCTAAGTTCCAAAGCTTTCTCAAAAATAAAAATTCTAGAAGTAAGTACACTGCTGTGTTTGCATTATACCCAGGATTCAGAACATCAATTGTAGAAATAGAAAAATGAAGAAACATAATCTCTGTTTCTTAGAGAGTTGACTAGTTGAAGACAATTTAGCTTTAATCAAGGTATGGCTGGAGACTAGAGATTTCATTTTTGGCAACCTTAGGAAATGTTAGGGGGAAGAGAGATTTAGGGGTACACTTCCTGATTAGTAAGGAGATGCTTAAGATGATCCCTGTTGTGTGTGTCA